CGCCCAGGGAGTGGAAAGAAGTAGTGGCTCGTTACTTTGACATCTCGGCGGAGTGGCATCATGGCAGGGTTCTGCCACAGCAGCGATAGCACATGACACTATGCTAAGGTGATGTGTCAGGGTGATGCCAAAGACAGAGTGTGATGCCTTGGGAGCCACTTGATATCTACAAGGCTTTGATGAGTCCATAGCCTGGTGACTTCACAACTTGAAGGGGGTCATCTTAGGGATACCAGGACATGGTGCTGGCTCTTAAATACCACAGTAATAACAATGACATCGAGACTTTGCTAAGACTATTAAACTAATAGGGTTTCTTTTTATGGAAATCCCAAATAGTGCCATAGCAGACGAGATGCAAGGCTTAACCTTTGTAGGGCATATCCCGAAGGGCATTATGCCAAAACTAGATAATGATAAGAATACACTCAAGAAAGGTACTGATTATGTTTATCACGTTATGGTGTAGAACAGGGCTTGGCCAACTTTCTGTGAAGAGCCAGATAATAAATATTTTAGACTCTGTGGGCTAAAAGACCAAATAGTGGATATTTTTGTAGGTATTTATGTGACAAGAGAGAAAGCACATTTCAACAAATGTTTATTGATGAAATTGAAAATATAATAACAATAATTGAGTACATTTTTTACAGTACAGGACTATTAATGAGAAGGATCAAATTCTTTTATGGGAGGGAATAATATTTTGCTTAATTTAGGCTCAAAGTTAATGTTGCCTATCCTCAAAGTTGATTCCAAATGTTCATCTCTTGATGTTGCTCTGTAATGAGATTTTACCTATTTTGTCTTTGAAAATGACTTTTCACATAGATAGGTACTGCCAGCCAGTAATATCAATGAACATATACTTTTTCATTTTTATTTAAGTAGGTTTTTTTAAAATTTCAATATAGTTTTATAGAAAACTTGTAAAGGGGTCAGCCAGGTGGTGTGCTGGTTAAGGTAAATGGATCCCACATGGGTAGCTGTGTAGTTCAAGTCCAGGACCCAGTGGCTTGATAAACAGGCCCAGCACATGTTCATGCATGCCCAAAGTCCTGGGAAGAGAGAATGGAGAAGAAAGGATTGCAGCATTGCCATCCCCCTGAGGAGTGCATTCTTACTTTCTCTCTCACTCTCTCTCTGTCTCTCTGTGGCAAGTGCATACGCCCTATAGGGAAACTAAAAAAAAAAAAAAAGAAAAAGAAAAAAACGTTTCAAAGGTAGTAAAGTTCCCATATTTCTCTCACCTGGTTTACTCCACTGTTTTTTTCTATTCTGGTAACTTTTTTTTTCCCTTTTCTCTTTCTATTAAGGAATGTTTTATTTTTATTTTTTTTACAATTATTTATTTATTTATTTTAATTATTATTTATACATTTAATCACTACACATCATTTAGATTTTAAAGAGACATTACCCAGCGTGACACACACCTCAGTCCAGCCCAGTTGAGAACATACGCATGTCGTCATCTAATAATTTTATTGAGGTTCATTTACATAAAATTCACCTTTTTAAAGTATATAATTAAATTATTTTTAGTAACTTTACTGAGAGGTGCAGTCATCACCATAAATCAGTTTTAGAACATTTCCATTCCTCCAATGAGATCCCATATGCTCATTTACAGTTAATCCCTGTTCCCACTCCCAGCCTCAGGCAACTACTAGTCTCCGTAAATTTGCTTATTCTGGACATTTCCTGTAAATGAAATCATACAATATGTGGTCTTTTGTATCCAGCTTCTTTCACTTAATATTTCTGAGGTTCCTACATATTGTAGCATGTATCAGTATTTCTTTACTTTTTATTGCCAAAGAGAATTCCATTCTATGGATATAACACATTTTTGTCTTTCTGCTTACCAGTTGATAGACATGTAGTTGTTTCCAATTTTCAACTATTATGACTAATACTGCTAAAAACATTTGTGTACAAGTCATTGTGTGGTCATATGTTTTCATTTCATTTTTGGTAGATAATTAAGGTTGAAATTACTATGTCATAAAAAATTATGTTTAACATACTTTTTAAAAATTTTTTCCTATCTTATTTTTTACATTTGATCACTGTATATTTTTTATTTTTATTTATTTTTGAGATTTTTGCTATAGGGCACATGTGCTCACCAGAGAGACAAAGAGACAGAAAGTGAGAAATCACTTCCCAGAGATAGAAAGTGAGAATTCACCCTCCCCCTGAGAAATCACCCCTTGTGGCCACATCACAAGCCTTTCTCCTCCATTCTCATCTTGGGATTTTGGGCATACATGCACATGTGCCCAGCATGAGTTTCAAGCCACCAGGTCTGGGACTCAAACTGTGGTTGGCCATGTGGGAATCCAGCACCTTAGCCACTATGCCACCTGCTGGCCCCTGTATATCTTCACAACATATAAAACGAATTTTCCCAGCATGAATACACTATATGTTAGTCCAGTCATTAAGAAACTGCAAAACTGTTTTCCAATGTGGCAGCACCATTTTGCAATTCCACTAACAATGTTTGAAGATTCCTGTTTCTCCAAGTCCTCACTAACATTTGTTATTCACTATTTTATTATAGCTGTTTAAAGTGGATATGAAATGATTTCTCATTGTGGTTTTAATTTGTATCTCCTTAATGGCTAATGATGTTGAGCATCTTTTCATGTGCTTATTAGTGATTTGTATTTCTATCTCAGTGAAATGTTTTGTTCATTTTTAAATTGAGTTGTTTACCTTTTTATTGTTGAGTTGTGAGAATAGTATATATATTCTAGATATAAGTCCTTGTCATGTATAGGATATGCAAATATTTTCTCCCATTTGCTGCTCATCTTTTTTTTTTTATTATTGATGGTGTCTTTTGAAATGAAGAAATTTTTCATTTTGATGAAGACCAACTTATCCTTTCTTTTATAGACCCTGCTTTTGGTGCTGTACCTAAGAAGTCTTTGCCTAATCCAAGGTCTCAAAATTTTTCTCCTATGTTTTCTTCTTTTAAAAAAAGAAATTTGCCATAGGTCACATGTGCTTGCAGAGAGTGACAAAGAGAGAGAAAGAAAGAAAGCATGCCAATGGGAGATGGCCATGTCATAATCCTTTCTCCTCTATTTCAGGATTCTGGGCATGCACACACATGTGCCCAGCATGGTTTTTCGAGCTACCAGATTCAGAGCTTGAACTATATTGTTGGCCATGTGGGATCCAGTTGTTGTAACCACCAGACCACCTGCTGGCCCACCTATGTTGTCTTCTGAATCTTTTGTTGTTTTTATCTCTTACGTTTAAGTCTATGATTCATTGTGAGTTAATTTTTCTATATAGTATGAGGTCTAAGTTTATCCTTGTGCATGCAGCTATCCAAATTGTCCCAGCACTATTTGCTGAATTTCCATCATTAACATCTCATATTGCTATGCTATATTTGTCAGAACTAATAAAACCCACATTCATGTATTGCTATTATCTTTGCTCTATGATTATTCTAATTTCATCACTAATTTATCTCTGGATGGCTTCCCATCCAGGATACGTTACATTTAGCCATTGTGTTTCCTTAGTCTCTTCTGGTTTGTAAGAGTTTCTCAAACTTTTCTTGTTTTGATGACCTTAATACTTCTGAGTGATTTTTCAGAAAATCTCTCAAATTGAATTTGTCTGATGTGTTTTTCATGATTAGACTAGGGTTATATTTTGGGGTGGAAATCTACAGAGGTGAAGTGCCATTCTCATCGAGGGTAAATGAGTGTATGATTTTAATTGAGCGTATTCATTGCTTGGAATAGAAATCTATTAAATTCTTCTCTTAATATTTGCTTTTTGGCATATCATTACATTGTGGATTAATTACTTCCAACTGAAGGTTAGGTGAAAGCTTCTTAAGTACACAGTTAAATGGATTTTGTAATATGACAATATGGTTTGCATTTGGCTCAAGATCCAAAATCCATTGCTGAAACTGTAGCCTGAAGTTAGAAAATATATATGCTACAAATTTGTATGAGACTGGAGATATTGTTTCTTGTTTTAATTTTTTTTTCAAGTCAGCTTTAGGTCACTGTGGCACAGGGGTAATTTAAGTGCCCTGTAAGGCTGAAAGTCATATGGTCAGTGGTGAGTTCAGGTTGCTCTATTGTTTTGAAAGCATGCAAGAGGCATCCAGGATCCTAAGCATCTAGAGGGCTAGTGAAAGGGTTATATTATGACAAGATGTTTTCAAGGGTGCTTCTCTCTCTGTCTAAGTCTCTTGCATATGTGTGTACATGTGTGAATACACTCTGTCATAAAAAAGTAAGCTTTATTGTGGTATAACTTGCACACAGTAAATCTCACTCTTTTTAGGTGTAAGGTACAGTGTACTTGGATAAATATATACTGTTATGTAGTCACCGAACTCAAAGTGTATTATAATCACTCCCCAAAATTCTCACACTCTTTTGTGGTCACTCCCCCACCCCACTCCAGGCTCTTGACAACCACTGAACTGATTTCTGACCTTGTAGTTTTGCG